GGAGGGACCAATCTTTTGGCACTATCTCTGACAATATTCTCCTTCTGTTCTTTAGACCTTCAGCATCTGACAGTGTTTCAATGCTATGCATAAAGTTTTCAGTGGCTCCTTCCTCCAAAATGGGTAGCCAAGTCCTTCTTTGATGTCTGTTCTTAGTCTGGAAGCTGTGCTGAAACCTGTTCACTTTGGGTGACCTTGCTGGTATTTGAAATACCAGTAACATAACTTCCAACATCACGACAGCACAGAAGCCACCACAGTATGCGAAACTGACAGAATGTCGTGGAACCAAAGTCTTAGCGGCTAGAATTTACAGTACATCACAAAACAGATTATCAATAGCAGAATCATATAAAGACATTTCATTTCACACACATCTCACTTTCTCTATCCAATAATCTCTCCACCCCACTACACACACATGCCCACACACACGCACATGAGCGGGCTTTAAAAATTAATATAAAACTTTAAACAAATTAATGGGAAAAATCATTACCTTTTATTTCCATTTTTGACAAGTTATTTGAAACCTGTGTATGTATACTGTATATACTCGAGTATAAGTCGACCTGAATATCAGCTGAGGCACCTAATTTTACCACAAAAACTGCATTGAAAATGTGCTGAAACACTTGGCTTATACACAAATATATACGGTGTACGAAAATACAATGCATACAGAAAAATCAGTAATATATACATATATATTAAGTAAATATGCTCATATGATTCTGAAGGCTTTACATTGAAAAAAAATATCCATAAACAGGCAGCAGTTTGGGAGCTCCAGTTGTCTTAAGGCTGAGATACATGAGTTAGGTTGGGAACTTAGGCAGAATGTTATTGTCTTGTTTGCAGAATTCCTTCTCCTCTTGGAAACCTCAGGTTTTGCTTTTAGGACCTTCAACTAATCGAATGAGGATCACACATTTTATTAAGGGCAATCTGTTTTACTTAGAGTCAATTGATTTTAAGAGTTAATCACAGTGAACAATAGGTAAACATATAGGGGGAAAAAAGAAAAGGAAGAAAGTAAAAAGTATATATAGGTATAAATATAGATAATGTACATATGTAAAGCTAGGCATATTTGTGTGTGTATATTTATATATATGTGTGTGTGTGTATAAAACAAGGAAACAGCTGGACTTTGGGCCTCTACTTATATATTACCTCAGTACAAGAACAGTTTGTTCTAATAATATGGCACCTTCCCGACGCAATCGCTGAAGGCAAAATGGGAGTATAAACAAATGTAGTGCAGAAAACTGATGGTTCCCCGCTATTAAAAGAGATAGTGTCTTGGGTCTTAAAGGCTTCAAATTAAACAAGCAGCCATCTATCAGGGAATCAAGAAAGCCCACATGGAATAAGCACACCAGCCTGTGTGATCATGAGGTGTCGATGGGAATAGGTATCAGAAGTTCAAAAAAAAAAAAAAGCAATTAAATTGATGTGAAGGAGTGTGGATGTGGTGGGGATCCCAACCCCACATATAAGACAGCCCCTCTCAGAAGGGCCACACAGAAGGGATGATATATGTAGGGAGTGGTATAACACTAATGAAATACACAATTGTCCTCTAGTTCTTTAACATTTCCTCCCCTTACCATTAGGAACTTTGTTTTGACCTCCTCATTCTTGTTAGGGCTCCATAGGTTCATTTGTGTAATTAAGATTGGTCAGTGCATGAAAGCCGAGATAGACAAACCTGCAGAAACAGTAGCAGGAGTTACTATTACCCTGAGGGTCTGGGAAAGGGGCGGGGAGGGGGAGCTGATAGCAATTATGACTGTATAACCCTACGTGAGGGGAACAAATAACATTGGATATAATAGCAAATAACATGGGGACGGATACATTGGATCATGTAAGACAGGGCAAATATATATATTATAGTACGTATAATATATAATAAGGGTTACTGGGAGGTAGGGTGGGGGAGGGGGTAAAGGAGAACTGATATCAAGGAGTTCAAGAAGAAAGAAAATGTTTTGAAATTGACTGTGATAGCAATTGTACAATACTGCTTGATGTGATTGAACTATGGAATGTTATGATATTGTAAGAGCTCCCGATAAAATGATTTTTTAATGTAATAAAAGTTAATCACATGTTACCTAATCAAAACTTTTCAGGAATGTCTTTAAATTCAGTGTTGTAAGTGAAGAAAAATAGCGTGGTTGAATAAGGAGGGAACAGAAGTAATTTCTACAATTCCAGATACTGAAGGAAAAGAAAAAGAAAAAAAAGACATCCAGCATTAAAAAAAAGAAAAGGCTTGATAAACCCCCAGGACATTTTATCTTTAAAATTATTTAAACTATGTGCTTTTATCATTATAAGGGAATTATAAATAGCTAATAAATACCAAAAAGGGTCAGAAGCAAGTTACTTTGAAAAGCATAAAGAGATTCTGACTTGAAATCCCCAAATCTCCGTTTTTATTTGTGGTGGGATAAACAATGTGATTTTCGAGTTTGCCGCTTTAGAGACTTAGTGAGTGTTTATTTGAAAGATCATAGTGACCCTGTATGTACCACAGAAAAACACTAACTGCTGCTACACCTTCCTCACAATGGTTATTATGGTTGAGTCCATTGTTGCAGCCTCTGTGTTAATCCGCACCAGGGCTTTCCCTTTTTTTCACTGCTCCTCCACTTCATCAAGTGTGATGTCCATCTTCAGGGACTGGTCTCTCCTGACAATATATCCAAATTACCTGACACAAAGTCTCGCCAGCCTTGCCTCTGAGGAGAATTCTGTCTGTACTTCTTCCAAGATGATTTGTTTGTTCTTTTGGCAGTCCATGGTACGTGCTTTCAGTATTCTTCACCAGCACCATAATTCAAATGCATTGCTTTTCCTTTGGTCTTCCTTATTTAGCATCCAATTTGCCCATGCATACGAGGCGATTGAAAATACCATAGATTGATTCAAGTGCACCTTAGTCCTCAAAGTAACATCCTAGCTCTTCAGCACTTACCACCCCCACCCCCAACACTTTTAGGGAGGTCTTGTGTTGCAGATTTACCCAAATGGAAAGGTTCAAGTGACCACTGTTTTTATGAAGTTAAACTTATGGTGCCTAAGTAATCCCTAAGTACTGAAATGGTAACACAATCTGTAAAAAGGTCAGTTTGAACTATTGGTTAGTCATATTGATTAAAGAAAAGGGTCACCAGTGCGGCTTCTCAATTCAGACTAGACCAGAACATGCACACAGGTATAGAAAGGGATGGGGAGCTCACGACACATAGAACCCAGGAACAGGAGTGGGAATAGTGATACCAGAAGGGTAGGGGGAAGGGGGGGAGAGGTGGGGAGGGAGGGGGAACCGATCACAATGATCGACACATAACCATACACCCCTCTACAGGGGGAAGAACAACAGAAAACATGGGGGAAGGAGGATAGCGGTCTGGTGTGAAAGATGAAAACAAGAACAATCGGCAATCTATCAGGGGCTTGTGAGGGTGGGGAGGAGGGAGGTGGGGAAGAGCTGATACCAAGGGCCCAATAGAAAGTAAATGTCTAGAAAAGAATGAGGGCAACATATGTACAAACATGCCTGATTCAATTGATGTATGGATTGTGATAAGAGTTGTACGAGCCTCCAATAAAATAATTTTTTTAAAGGGTCAATTTGCAGATAGTCATAAAAAGGGTTCTTGAAGTAAATACTCAAGAGCACATTTAATCTCCCAAAAAAAGTCTTATATATGTTATACTTTTAAGACCAGATCATCATAACTTTTTATATTTGGTCAAATTTTTATATCTTAGGTTACTTAGAGTTAGTTTCAACATCATATGTAGCTTTGTCTTTACTACAGATCTGTGGAGCTGTAACTAAATGTATTGCCTCCTAAAAAATAACTTTTACTTATTACAGAATACAGTTCCGTCAATATGAACTCCATATATAAATAATGTACATTTTACTGCAGAAGTATGGAGATCGTAGTGTTTGATTTAAAGTTTGAGTTTATATTGGGCAAATAGGCATTATGCTTTTCAAATGTACTGAAAAAACACTTTTATTTGCCTTCTTATTTTAATGATAGTTTTTTTTTCGCGTAGCATCACAAAACGTGTGCATGGAAATATCTGAGGTCTTGTATTATTGTGCTTAATCCAGGGTGGATATAGTTTAAATGATAAAACCCGAGGATTAAAGTACAAGGAAGTGAAAGTTCATTCTGCCTACTTATAAGAAAAATTTTGTTCTTCTTTTTTTCTTATAATATGATATTATAATGCCATGAATTCATAAAAGATTTAAATTGATTCTTTGGAGTGGAACACCAGAATTACGCTCATTTTTATCTGAGATCTTTCTTTATCATTTTTTGTCCTATGGAAACATATCTGTGTACAAAATACTATGAGGCTAATACTCAAGAGAAAAACTATCATTATGTGTACCCTGGCCATGGTGATCAGCCTGGTACAATTTAAAGGAATTAAACTATCACCTTCCCAAGAAAAAAGTTGATCACATGTAAATATATATATATTTTTTCACATGTAAATATATTTATAGCAACATCACTTGTTGGAACCTTACGGAGCACATTTCTACTCTGACACAGCGAGTCCTCAGGAGTTGGAATCAACTGTCGCTTCTCGCCTTTTAGCTAGGATCAAGTGTAGTATGAGTTGGAATCAACTAAGATAAAAGGCTGGTCAAGTAAATAGGAAGATTTAGGATTGCATGTAACAATAAAAGTAGCTTCAGCAGACATCTGCTAAGGTTCTATTACTGGACTTAGTATGTGTAGCGGCATACAGCCTTAAAAATGTATACAAAGTCTTGAGAAATTTTATTTTAAAACATTGTCCAATGGTGACTTAAATATTTAGCAATGTCTGAGTCTTATAATTAATTCATTTCTTTCTTAAGATTTACATAATCATCAATATATACAATATCAAGTAAAAAAGTTCTAAGTAAGTAAGAATCTCTAACTAACTGCAAATATTTCTATTCTCAGAATGATCTTCTGGATGTAGTGGCAAGTATTCACTTATCAAGAAAGACTGTCAAGAGGATTCGGATAAATTTTGTCTTTGCTTTAATTTATAATCTGGTTGGAATTCCCATAGCGGCTGGTATGTGACTGTTAACTAGTATTGCATTTTCTTTGGACGTCCTTAGAGATCTATCCTATTGAAATTTTAATTCAATTATAAGAATATATTTTTGTGCTTAATTTATATATGTATATATATATCCTTTTGGTATGATGAGAGGCAAGGTTAAAGTTAATCATAATTTTCAACTATGATGAACTGCTGACATGTATCCAAAAGTATTACTACTATGGTTCCAATTCCTATATGCATGAGTTTGCTCTAAATAAAATAGGTTTGAAGGTATCTGTTTGAATAGTTGATGGTTCCAAGTGCGTTCTCTCAGTAATGCCCTGTGTTCATCTCTGTACCTTGCCTTTCAAAAAAGGTCCAACCAAAATAATGGCTTCCAGGCCATCGGCTGGGCTAGTTAAATTCAAGACAGAGCGAATCCGCTCACAGAGTTATGGTAGCTGTTTTGGGGGAACTCCATGCGTGGAATTTTTACCCATTATCTTAAAGGCACTGGAGAGTCATGGGAGCTCAGTAAGAAGAAGTTTTAAGAAAACAGAAAACTGCATTGGTGAGGAAAAGGCCTGGAAAGCTGTGCTGGGAAATTTTTTTCCATCATGACAATGCACCTGTCTTGTGAGAATTTTGTTAGAAAACCTTACCGCAACCCCCCTGATCACACCCATTCTGACTTCTTCTTGGTCCCCAAACGTAAAGAACATTTCAAGAGAACATGATTTGAGTCCTGTGAGGATGCCAAAACAGCTCTTTTGATGTGCAAATCAACACGTACAGACCTCTACAGGGAGGGGTTGGAGGGATGGAAGTGCTGTCTTCAGGAGTGTATAGACTTAGATAAAGGATGTATCAAGAAATAATAGCTTCACATCTTGATATTTTTGTTTAATAAAGGTTTCTGTGATCTGTAGCAATACTTCGGTCTTATCCTCATATAAGAATGTTCAGAGTAACATTCCACGAGTGCAAAATTGGCAACAAAACTATCGCCATCAATAAAAGTATAAAATGATTTATATTCCTTCAGTCACTGATGTTGGTTGGGGTGGTTCTCCCATGTGGACTTAGTTGACATCTCATTTTGATGGCTGTGTTTGCAAACAAGCCTTTAAGACCCCACACGCTATTTTCTCTGATAACTGGACACCATCTGATTTCTTTGCCACACTTTTCTGTAGCACCCGTATCTTCTATGTTCCCTTCCTGAGGGCAAGTATCGAACAGGGTCATGATCTAAGAACTACAGTGATTGTTCTTAAATTGGAGCTAGGGTTTAATGTGAGCCCAAAGCCCATTCCTCAATCTATATTTTTTTATCTGCCTTTGGCTCCCTTTAGAGACCACCTTGTTTGTTTATGTCACAGAGTCTTCTTGAGCATCTCTCTGGGGTATAAAGATATTCTGTCGATATTGTCTTAGTGATTTCCCTCCATTCAAACTAGAGGGAGGGGAAGAAACTGGGTACCAGAGTACATTGGAGAGATGACTATAGGAGATCAACATGAGAAACCTGACTTGAACGTTTAAAACCTTGTCAGTTGATCCCCTTCTGACGCACACTGGGCCTGATCTGGTTTTCAACATTTCCTGTGGTTTTTTGGTTGTTGTTGTTGTTCATATTGAGATCTGCTCTGATGTATTTTGTCATTGGGGTGACCCTCTTGAACTTTTGTTATATGTTTTTCAGTATATAAAACCGGATTGATGAACCTATAGAGAAGCAAGTAGAATAAGGGGGCTTATTCTGGGGGCTACAGTGGGGCAGGGGGAAAAGAGAGCTGATGTCAATGAGTTCAAGCAGGAAGAGAATGTTTGCAAACTGGTTGTGGTCACTATTGTACAATACTGCTGGATGTGATGTGATGTCTGTATGCGCTCCCAATAAAATGATTTTGGAAAAAAATGTAAAATTGGTTTAAAAAAGATAAAATGATGAAAACATAAAAAGCAGGAAGTATTGTATGTGGTGTGTACATGTATGATCATCTCTGACTAATCCATATTATTTCCTAGGTGTTTTTATGCCCATTGGCTTGGTCTTGCAGCCCTGGATGGGATCTGCCGCAATGGCGGCCTCATCTGTTTCAGTAGTCCTTTCTTCTCTCTTCCTTAAGCTGTAAGTATGATGGCTTGCTCAATTGTGTATTTCATATTCCTTTTATCATTCACCATCTGTATTGATCAGTTAGGTTATTATTTTGGTCAGTGATAAGCTGAAGCTTTTCCTAATAATAAGTGTGATTTATGTCCTGGTCATCTTCTATCGTTTATGTATAGCAGCCGCAAGCATTAACTGGGGTAAAATCTAGTCCACCAGCTATGAGAAGTAGGAATTTGTTAGACTCTACACAATTCTTGCTACTTTTCTAGCAGAGACCATCTTACTACACTTTCATACCAGGTCATTTTACATCTTTAATTTAAAATGATTTATTGTGGTAAATGATATATATTATATTTAATATAAATAAAACATATATACATATATATAACAAAACATTTGCCATTATGCACTAGGCTGCTAGCCACCAAAAGTTTGCTATTGTAACCCTTTTAAAATATACTACACTTCAGTGACACTGATATCTTTCACCAAGTTGTGCTACCGTCATCACTATCCATTTCCAAAGTTATTTCCTCACCTCAGACCGAAACTCAAGTGTCCACTTCAGCAATAACTACCTGCCCCTGGTAACCATCAATAAACTTGTGTTTCTGGGTAATTGTTCATTTCATATGTTTCATGTAAGTGAGGTTTTATAATATTTCATGTAATTATTTATTCCGACTTACTTCATTCAGCATTATGTTTTCAAGCTTCATCCATGTGGTGGCATGATTCATCTGTTGCTGGGTAGTTGGGTTGTTTCCACCTCTTGGCTATTTCATGTTGTAACGCCCATTGGTGTACAAGTATCAGTTTGATTCCTTGGCTTGAATTCTTTTGTGGACTTAAGAGTGGAATTATGGGGTCAGCCCTAGTGGCACAGTGGTTAAGTGCTTGGCAACTAACCAAAAGGTTGTCAGTTCTCACCCATCAGCTGATCCATGGGAGAAAGATGTGGCAGTGTGCTTCCACAAAGATTGCAGCTTGGGAACTCTAAGGGGCAGTTTTACTCTGTCCTATAGAGTCGCTATGAGTTGGGATCACTGAGAGCAACAGGTTTGGCTTGTTTGTGGGTTTGTGGTATTTCTGTTTAACTTTTTGAGGAACTACCAAGCTGTTTTCCTACTACTTTTATGTCTTAATGTAGCAAGCATTCAGTTCACAACTGGTTTTTGGTTACCGTATTTCAAACTAGTGTGCTTTTGTATGTGTCCAGTTACAGGAAACCAATTTACGAGAATTATGAACTGCGTACCCGGAGCCAAATAGGACAGAAGAGCCCTTCAGAAATCAGTGTTCATGTTGGAATAGATGACATGTCAAGAATTTCTCCTCAGCTGGGTTTGCTGGACCGGATTATTAATTACAGCAGAGCTTCCATAAACTCACTACTGGCTGATAAACGTTCCCTAAACAGCAATGCTACCAATGAACCTGATAAACACTCACTCCTGGTGGGAGACTTCAGAGAAGATGACACTGCACTGTGAAAGGACAGAGAGAGTTACCACACTTGCTATGCACGGGCAGGGCATTCATGAAGTCCTCTTAGCTTTCAAAGTCATGTGTGGAAGGATTTGTGTTCGCCTCATGCCCTTGTAGTAGGCGTTCCATGTGCATTGCATTTGTCCTATGGCAAAAATATCTATTTTCAGGATATCAGCTCCGAACCTAATGTTATTTGCAGTGAAATTCCAGTATTTGTTGTTTTGACTGACAACATGTAAGGTAGAGGAATGAGGTTTACAGCAGGCATACAATTTAAGTTGCTAAATTACTAACGTGATAGATTTGTTTTTTCCAATTTGATGAGAGAGAGAGAGAGAGAGAGAGAGAGAGAGAGAGAGAGAGAGAGAGAAAGAGAAATCCAAAGAGGATCATTTTAAAATTTGGAGATTTGAGAACAGTCATGACCTTGGGATTCTTGAGCTCAATGCCTTTGAAAGCGCTATCTAGAACACCTAGTTTTAAAGGGGAAACAGCAAAAGCTGTTTGAAAATAGATGTGCCTTATTTATCAAAGCCCTTCTTTCCCCCTCTTTTCTCTGCCGTTGCTGTTTTAGATGCACCACTGTTTTCTTTGATTTTCTTCTTTTGGCGAGCCAGATTTGGGTGGCTCCTCATCTTTAAAAATAACTGACAATTTTTCCATATTTTGTTTCTTTTTTAAAAGTGTTTTTAAGAATATAGGATTCCCTGCCTTCCACAATCCTTTTGTTGTAAGAAATGTACAACTATTCCTTCAACTTTTTTACCTCTCTGCAAGCTTTTGAATTCACTCCTGCTGAGTTCAGTTATAAGAAGTTCTTAGTCTCCCCACGTAATTCACAATAAAAATTCATTTAAAAAAGAGAAGTTCTTAGTGTAGTCTCTTTACCAGCCTCAGTCCAGAAATGTAAAAAATAAATTTGAACCTCTTTGGTAATTGATTTTTTTTCAAAGATTTAACACTACCATTTTTAACATATATAGCTCATATCAGACTACTTGGATTCACTAACTTTGCCTTTTGGTCGGGGCACACAATATAGGCACTAACCAAGTATGGTGTTTCAGATAATGATCAAAGTGACTTTGAAATCATGCTAATGCACAAAGCTGATTTTACCAAAAAAGAAAATACAATAAATTGTAATGCAGGAACCAGAACTCTTCTAGGTGTGATACCATTTAGCCAGATCTGCTTTTCAATTTTAAAACATTTGCACTTGCAAGTTAATGTTGGCAAATTTAAAGGCTTGTTCCCTCTGCCATGGGAATTTAGAACTTTCCATGTGAGTGCGTGGGAGTTAATACACTGGTAAAAGGCTGAAAAAAGAAATATCTCATTTGGGGGGGGAGGAGCAGTTGAACATAGCCAGCTACTATTTTTGTTGTCATTATTACTATGTGTATTTGAGCTTTCCTTGTGGTCCCACACACATGTACTTGTAACACTACTTCGATTTCACGTTCATTGCAGAGCGGGATTTCATATCCAGAATAAGTAAGTGAAGAAAACGCATCAAGAAATTCCTAATATTTTGACCCCATATGTAAAGCTGCCAGCACAATGCTTGGCAGATAGGCTTTGTACTCAGTAAAAGGTCTTTTCTCCCTTTGAGGTCAGTAATAAATGTAAAAAATGTCACTTTAGAACAGGGTCTAAAATCAGGGGTTATGAGATAGGGGTAGACACACACACACACACACTCACACACACACACACACACGGCATTATTCCATTGCTGTCTTTTCCGGTTTGGAAAAGTTTCTTTTTTCTCATCCATCTTAAAAGAGTGAACTGAAACTTGTGATGAAGGTGCTATTAGTCTTGAAAGGCAAACCTATTTCTGTGGATTATGACTGTGTTTGTCTAGACTCCTTTTTTAGGCCAATGTCTATGCCATCCTCCGTGCTTCCAGTTTGAGTTTTAATATTTGTTTCTTGTTTTAATTCCTTTGACCCATCTATCATACCACAACTCGTTTCTTCTCGAAGAAATAGCTGACATGACAAATGTATAGACTTTTAGACTTTTCTCACTCCGGAGCCATATTGAAAAATGAAGCAGCTCACTTTTGGGGGGAAGTAATTGAGCCTAGCCAGTTACCATTTTTTATTGTCATTATTACCATATGTGTTTGAGTTCTCCCTTGACCCCATTTGCATGTTATAGGACATTGAGAGTATCAGTCTAAGAATAATCAAGGATATAAATTGCGATCCTTACTAAAAGAGCAAAAAATATAATGTTTAAAAAAAGTAATTTTTAAAGCAGCTATAGACACATTTGAATTTTCTACCACGTGTTTTTGTAATCTTAAACTCCCATTAGCTTCAGACAAGCTGTATTCAGTGGACAGAGAAGAATATGAATATATGCAGGGAATCAAAAACATTGCATCCAGTTAGTAACTAGTTGACTAGCAGCTAGTGATTATTGAGAACAAATCTTATAAATGTATGTGTTTATTCATGAACATGCATAGATATGTGGACGTATACATATATATGACGGGGCTTTAACATTTTCATGGAAAAATTCCATTATCTCTCAATTCCATTTTCCCACAAACTTTTTGAAGCCCCCTCCTATATATTTCACTATATATAAACAAACTTATGTTTGAATTTTGTATTTGAAGTTCTTTAATTCACTCTTCTGTATTTACTCAGCAACTATGCCCTCAGTCAGAAGATAACAAGGAACTTTGATATCCAATGCTGGTTCAAACCCAACTGAAGGATCCCTTTTTATCTTAGCTATCCAAAGATGCCTTTTGAATTTCCAATATTCAAATACAACTGAAATAGTTAGTGTTGTAGAATAGTCTAAGTATCATTGTCAGCTGTGAAAATAGAAACATTAATTTTCCTAGCTTAATACTAACATTTTGAGATGTTAAATTTGCTATCTTGTGAACAAATTGTTTGATACTATGCTTTGACTTTCTAAAAATTATTTTGTGTTCAGATATGATAAATGGTTAAAATAGCACTGTAGACAAGACGTTCTTAAATATTTAAGAGTGCATATATTTTCTGTACACGGTTTAAAATCAAGCATATTTGTTAAGAGAAAAATTTCCCTTTATTTGTGGGTCTGGCTTTACATTGATTTTTCTTAATATTTATTTTACTCTTGTTATTTTCAGTTGGTGAGGCATCTGGTTACTGGTTATTTTCATAAGAATAAAAACATTGCTGGAATCAATCCCTTCAGATTTTTCTTTTTGTTGGTTTGATTTCTATATTATACTTAAACATATTATCTTACCAAATTAAAAAAGATAGATGCATGCCAAATTATGACCTCTTTTTGCACTCACTTTCTGTAGTCCCTCAATCTGAGTAGCATGAAGCATGAATGATTATTCTTCAATGAAAAGAGCTTCTTTAATGGCACTGTTAATAAATACCTTTTGTAGCCAAAACCAGACGTCTCAACCTTAGGTTTTTAGTTAAAGAAATGTTTAACTAAACATTGTTACATTTTTATTATTTGGTACCCCAAACGGCAATGGACAGTATTGTGCAATATTCATCTACTATAGTTAAAATATCAGCAGTTTTCCATGAACATGTAATCAATCATATTTCTGCCAAGGATGTGCCTTCAGTTTGTAATTATAGTGTTGTTCAAAAAAGTCAATATCTCTTTGGTTAAATCATGTATCCCCTCTATCGATATTTCCAATTAATTTGATTGTGGTTTTAATTCAATTCAACTCCACCCCCCCACCGCCCTAATCTGGGAGACCGGATTAGGAGATTCCATGATCTAAGAGAAGACACCTGCCCTCATCTTGTCAGGCCTTGACTTGTATAGACTACAGCGACTGGACGCTAGCTACAGAAACAATGGGGTTGGCGACAGGGCGAAATGTACAATAATATTCATTCACAAAGGCAGAACCGTGCCTACCAGATTAATACATGTCATAAGAAAGCAAAGAGCATTAAAATAGTACATGTTTGGTCATCTCAGACCACCATCCATTGGGCACTCTCAAGGTAAGAGATCCGAAGCAAAGTCAAAGGATGGACAATTCTATAAACATGGGATAACACTTATCAGCTTCTCAAGCTAGGAAATTTCAGCTGTAAGGCAAAAGGTGAGTTTGAGGTAAAATTCAGCTTACTTAGTGTGGTTTCCGCTTTGAATCCTTCTGATGTGGCCTATGAAGGATGTTGTGCACTTTGAAAGAACAGGGTCTAAAGTCCCAGTGGTCTATAACACATAGCTTGGGTCACCAAGGTCTGGATAGAAAACGAGGTCAAAAGTGTCCAATTAGGCATGTAGTACCCAGCATATTCTCCCTTTGTGTTCTATATATAAGTATTGCGAAGCATTATTTTTCCTGACAGGAGGTTGCTCCTCCCGGTTTACCCATCAACAGAAATGTAGTCACCTTGTCTGGGCCATAAGGTTGCTCATCACTCTCGTACGACTAGCTGTTGATTTGGAGTGACCTTAGCACAATGTTGTATGGCAGCACTGAATGACCTTCTCCTTCTCCCATGTAGAAAAAGAGACCACAGCTGAAGTGAGTTCTCTGTGCAAGTGGTTTTTAAGATGTACATATAGAGGGTGTGATACATGGTTAGCTCTCTACCCTGTTGCTTGGGAGACCAGATTAGAAGATTACATCATCTGAGAGAAGACGCCTGCCTTCATCTTGGTGTTTGCCCTTATAGTAGTGGCTTCATAGAATATTTGTCTTTTTGTGGTTGACCAACTTCACTCAGCATAATGGTTTCTAGTTCCCTCCATGCCATTAGGTGTTTTATGGTTTCACCACTTTTTTAGAGATATATAATACTCCATTTTGTGTATGTACCACAGTTTGTTTATCCATTTTTCTACTGATGGACATTTAAGCTATGTCTATCTTCTTGCTGTTGTGAACTGTGCTGAAATGAACATGGGAGAGCATACATCTGTTCATGTTCTGTCTCATTTCTTTACAATACATGCCCAGGAAGGTATTGCTGGGTTGTATGGTGTTTCTATTCCCAGTTATTTTGGGTAGTACCATATTGCTTTCCACAATGGTTGTACATATTTACACGCCCACCAGCAATGTATACAAGTTCCAATCTCTACATACCCTCTCCAACATCGGCTATTCTATGTTGTTGTTGTTTTAATTGGGTTATCTTTGTTGGTTTAAACTAATATCTCATCATGGCTTTGATTTGTATCTCCCAGATGACTAGTGATTGGGAACATTTTCTCATGTGTTGATTAGCCATTCGAGTGTCATCCTTTGTGAATAGTCTATTCTTGTCCTTTGCCCACCTTTTAATTGGATTATTATTTTTCTTGATATATTACAGAATTCTACAGATTTTAGTAATTAGTCCTTTGTCCATTGTGTCATTGCTAAAGATTTCCCCCCCCCAGTTTGTGGGCTCTCGTTTGGTTCTTTGATAAAAATCTTTTGATATAAATAAATGTTTTATTGGTTACTTGTTAGGCTGCTAAGTCCAAGGTCAGCAGTTTGAAACCACCAACTGCTCCTTGGGAGAAAGATGGGGTTTTCTACTCCCCTAAAGAGTTACAATCTTTAAAAAAAAAATTTTTTTTAAAGAGTAACAATCTCAGAAAGTCATAGGGCCAGTTCTACCATGTCACATAGGGTCGCTGGGAGTTGGCATCATCTTGATGGCAGTGAGTTTGGTTTTTCGGAATCATCTATTTTGTCTTCCGCTGCGTGTGCTTCCTGTATTATACTTGGTAGTCAGTGTATGCCCTGCCCTAGGGCCCTTAAGTTTGTCCCAGCTTTCTCATTGATAATCCTTACAATATTGGAGTTTACATTTAGATCTCGAATCCATCTTGACTTCATTTTTGTGCATGGGGCAAGGTATTGGTCCTGTTTCATTCAACTGCAAACGGAGAGCCCACGTTCCCAGCATCATTTGTTGCAGTGGTTGTCCTTTCTCTCATTTCATGTTTTTGGTCCGTTGTTGAAAATCATTGCCTGTACATGGATGCTTTTATTTCTGGCTTTTCTATTCTGTTTCATTTGTCTATGTATCTATCATTACACCATTATCAGACTGTTTGGACTACTGTGGCCGTGTAACAGGTGCTGAGGTTGGGTAGCGCAAGACCTCCTATTTTGTTCTTCTTTTTGAGAAGTTCTTTTTTTTTTAATCCTGGGCCCCTTCCATCTCCATATGAAGTTGGTAATTCGTTTTTCCATTTCTTTAAAGAATGAAGTTGGGATTTAGATTGGAATTTCGTTGAATTTCTAGGTTGCTTTAGGTAGTACAGGTCTTTTGTTTCTTTGGTTGGGTTTATTCCTAGATACTTCTTCTTTTGTGTGGCTATTGTGAATGGCATTGTTTTCTTGGCATCTTTTTTTGTTTTGAGCTCTCATCGCTGGTATATACATATCTGATTGATTTCTGCTACCTAATCTTAAATCCTGCTATATTTTTTCCATATCCTTCAATATTTCCCACGTCTTTTTGGGGAGTCCTTGGGATTCTCTCTCTATAAAATTGTATTTTCTGCAAATCGCGAGAGCTTCACTTCTTTGCCCAATTGTATTCCCTTGATTTCTTTTTGTTGCCTAATGGTTCTAAGACATCAACATGATGTTGAAAGAAGAGTGATGATAAGTAGGTACCCTTATCTTGCTTCTGTTTTCAGAGGAAATGTTTTCATTTTCCCCCCATTGAGTGTGATATTGGCTATTGGTTTTTCATATATGACCCTTATTATGTTGAGGAGTTTCCCTTCTATTCCTGCTTTATTGAATGCTTTTATTAAAAACAGATGTTGGGTATTGCCCAGTGCTTTTTCTGCACCTATTTATATGATCATGTGGTTCTTATTCTTGGTCTTGCTTATGTGGTAGGATACATTGATTGTTTTTTGAATGTTAAACCACCCTTACATTACTGGTGTGAATCCCATTTGTAATGATTAATGATTTTTGCTTCCAAATTCAAAAAACATGTTAAAAGACACAATATGAGGCCCTCAAAAATATGTTAAAAGACACGAGTCCTTCAAAAATGCCCAAACTACCATTTTTATGTAGTGTAAATCAAAGAGTGCAGAATTCTTTAGGGAAAGGTTGATGTTGTTAAGTGCTACGTCTGTTCTGACCCCCGGTGACCCTATGCACAACAGAATGAAACTCCGCACAGTCCTGCACCATCCTCTCAATTTTTCCTATACAGTGAACCCTCGTTTATCGCGGTTAATCGGTTCTAGACCCTACTGTGACAAATGAAATTCCGCGAAGTAGGATTCCTTATTTGTAAATCAAATATTTTCGTAGTTAGAGCATAGAGGACATGAAAAAACACCC